ACTCATACCACAAGGACATTTGCTCAACTGTGCTCAATGCACATAGAAGCATTATTTGTTATAGCCAGAACCTGGAAATGACCTATATGCCCCTCAACTGAAGAATGGATAAAGACAATGGAATACTACTCAATGATAAAAAAAAAACAATGACATCTTGAAATTTTCATGCAAATGGAAATCATCCATAGAGAGGTAACCCAGACCCAGAAAGACAAACACAATATGTACTTACTCATAAGTGGATATTAGACGTAAAGCAAAGAATAACCAGCTATAGTCCACGGCCCAAGAGAAGCTAGGTACCATAAAGAACCCTAAGAGAGACATGCATGGATCCCCCTGGGAAGGGGAAATAGACAATATCTCTTGAGAAAATTGGGAGTGTGGGAGGGGCAGAAGAGAGGACAGATGAGAAGGGGAAGAGGAAAAGGGGAGGGACAAGAGGAACATAAGGGAACAGGATGGTTGACACAGGGGAAGAACAGAGCAAAAGCAAGGAAAGAGGTATCTTGATTGTGGGAGCCGTTATGGGGCTAGCAAAAAACCTGGCACCAGGAACATTATCAGGAATCTGCAAGGATGACCCTCGCTAAGACCCTAAGCAATAGTGGAAAGGGTACTTCCCCTGTAATCAGAGAGATGACTACCCTAATTGTTATCATAGAACCTTCATCCAGAAATTAATGGAAGCAGATGCAGTGAACCACAGCTAATCACTGGTCTGAGCTCACAGAGTCCAGTCGAAAAGAGGGAGGAGTGATAATATGAACTATGAACAAAGGGGTCAACACCATGGTGGGGAAACAAACAGACACAGCTGATCCGAGTTAATGGGAGCTCGCTGACTCAGAATGATAGCGAGAGAACCCGCACAGGAACAAACTAGGCTCTCTGAATGTGGGTGACATGTGTGCGGCTTGGGCAGTCTGTTGGACCACTGGCAGTGGGACCAGGATTTATCCCTAGTGCTTGTACTGGCCTTTTGAAACCCATTCATTTCGGAGGGATACCTTGGTCAGTTTAAATATAGGGCGGAGGGCCTGGTGCTGCCTCAAATTGATGTGTTAGATTTTGTTGACTCTCAGTGGGAAGCCTTACGCTCTCTGAGGAATGGATGGGGGTGGAGTGGTGGGAAGAAATGGGGAGCAGGAAAAGGTGAGGGAGTGGCAACTGGATAGAGATGAGAAAAGGTCATTTTTAAAAAAATAAATTAATTAAAATAAAAAAGCAAAAAGGAACACTGGAGGGCTCTGGGTAAAACATTCCTCTACAAACAACTTCTCAGCTTGGATCCAGCTCTCCAGGCAGATCCTGTACCAATGTCATTGTAGTTATGCTTAGTACTTATGTAATTAATTATGTTTTCAAAGTTAAGCTTAAAACAAGTAACTAAAAACAAAGTTTGTTCAGCTAAACCATGGAGGCCCAAAAATGTGAGCCTATTTCCACCTTGACCAAAGGTCAGAGTTGGAATTTACTTCTATTCTTTCAAGGTTATTGTCTGTTTGTACCTCAAAGGTTCCCCCACCCCAGATTTATGGCAGAGAGTTCTACTCTCTCAAGGTTATTGTCAACACGTGTGGCTAATATCCAGACTTTGTATTTCAGGAACAGAGAAGTGGATATGTTTCTACCCCAAACAAAAGTCTAAGGATCCAACTATTCCCTTAGGGAGATAACAATGGATTCCACTCAGGGAGTGATTTGCCTGTAGAATGTTTTGGTCTAGGGTGTGAGTGTGACTTGTCTTACTCTTGCCTTCTTGCAACAGAATGTTTCAATTAAAAATGTAGCCTGCAACCTTCAACTGGTCTGTTCACTTCCTTGTATCTTATTAATGCACTTTTAAAAAATCTTATTCCTACCTTTTGGGATCAGGGTATTTTAAGCAAGTGGAAATTAAATGCGGCAATTTCAGTATTCACTGGAACTCCCTCCTGATACTATCTTATGTTTTCTGTTTTATTATTATTATTTGGCTTTTCGAGACAGGCTTTCTCTGTAGCTTTGGAGCCTGTCCTGGAACTAGCTCTTGTAGTCCAGGCTGGCCTCAAACTCACAGAGATCAACCTGCCTCTGCCTCCCGAGTGCTGGGATTAAAGGCGTGTGCCACCACTGCCCAGGTCTGTTTTATTGTTTTCACTCATGTCTTCGTGCCCTTTACTAACTCTTGTAATCCCCATGATGCACCTACCCTGGTAAGTAGTATTTTTTGTTGAAGCTGGTCTCCAACAATATATCTAGGCAGCCCTCAAACAATCAGAGATCTGCAGAATATGACATTTAAAATATTGATTATATTATTATATCAAACAGAGACTCCCAGATCCTGTCAGTGACCCGATATCTCCAAAGATTACAGGGCACCATGATGCCTCCACCTGGATTTGGCAATGCTGACCACTGGGCAAGATGCCGCAACACAACACCTGCTGCCAGGACCCGGTGCAGACTGTGGACAAGCAGCAGGACACTGGAGAATTGATTGCACCACTTTTGCCTAGACAAAAATAGTCAGTCTTCTCTCTCTCTCTCTCTCTCTCTCTCTCTCTCTCTCTCTCTCTCTCT